TATCTGGTTGCTAATATCTTCCAGCCTCCTAGTAACAGTCTGTTTTGAAAGGGGCACTGTTTGAAATTTGTTTCCTACCTTATTTTCATTGAAAGCTTCTGCCATCTTTATCGCACAGTTCTTAATTAATTCACCATCACTTAACGCTTTTTTAGCTTTCATTAATTCATATGTCACGAAATAAGAAGCCAGCAAAGCTTCTTCTTGTTGTTTTGTTTCATTGGTAAAAAGAGATTTCTGCTGGAAAAGTTTTTTCTTTAACTGATCGCAGACTACTTTCCTTGATTCACAAGAGTGTTTTCCGAACTTCTGTTTATGATTTGTCACGTAATGCCTCTTTAGGTTGTACTCCTTTAAAACTGCTAGCACTTGAAAACCTACTAGACACTGTGGCTTGTGGTCTTTATTTAATAATAAAAAAATAGTCATGTTCCCACTCAGATTTGAACGCCCTATTTTCGCTATCAACTTTTCTCAATTTACTATTTGACATGCTGTATCACTCACAATAACTTCAAACACAATTTTAATTGAAAAACAGTTCTACACTCACACTCTGTAATCACACTTCACTTTCTAAAATCGCACTAACTGGGAGACATTTCTGCTAAAACTGGCACTTAACAAAGGCCAGGATGCCGAGAGAAACAGTAAACATCCCATCCCTGCGAGCAAGCTGGGAATGGTTATTATTTTGAAGGTGTCATAAATCCTTCACCACTACAGTCTTCCCTTCAGCGTCATCTCCCTACAGAAGTAGGGTTGGGGGACTTGGAATTTCCATGACATGAACATAGTTATTAGAATACAGTTTGAACTGTCCAACTCAGTAAGAACATATACAGTCAACTACAAAATGCTGTAAGCTAATGAAACGTCCTATTAAAAACTGAATTCTATGCCAATACAGCTGTGAAGTTAAGATTTTTGAAAATAAACCTGAGACTTGGCAGGGGGCCGGAGTAAATCAAGTCGCGGGCCAGATACGGCCCGTGGGCTGCCAGTTGGTCATCGCTGATCTAGACAATCAGCTCAAAGATGGCGGTAAGGTTGTCAGCCTTACGCACTGGCCGCCCTTTACTCCCCACGAAAATTATGTAATTAATTCCTGGTACTCATTTTTTGTTAGAGGCTGAGTCAACCCCAGGGCCATAGTGCGGTTGGATGGATAAGGTCAATTGAAAAAAATCCAATGACCTCATTGGGACTTGAACCTGCGACCTTCCGGCTTGTAGCATAGTGCCTCAACCAAGTACGCTACCACATGACAAAGCTAAATCTCAAAAGCCAAAACTGTACAGTAGGTACAGGCTATGAAGACCTAAGGGCTAGAAAACAAAGAATTTTAACAGTATAAGAATAATCATTATTCTGACTAAGGTATTACTGAACCAGGATTATCTATTGCTGAATGACAATAATACTCCATCTACAATTCCAAACTGTTAAATGAAACTACTTATTCTGATTTTACCTTTTTCTGGAGGAGCCTTCTTCAGTGATATTACCAATGTGGCAACAGCTTTCAACACAAACGATATCTCTGATAATCTGTACCTATGAAATGACAAAACAAAAACTATACAAAGTGAACTGTTCTTCCTGCAGATAATCTAGTGCTGTGGAGCTTTAACATCATAAATCAGGCTCTACTACACATACCATGCTGTAGCCTTCCCAGGAAACTGATGGTAGTACAAGGTGGTTCAAATATGACCAGGACTGATTTTTTTTTTAAACCAAAATTGCCAAACACTTACTTGCACATGTCAGTCTTCAACGTACTACCCCCTGGAGTCAACACATTTTTTCCAATGTTCTGGAAGCATCCTGATGCCCTTTTCAAAAAAGTCTTGTGGTTGGCGGCGTATCCACTCCCAAACATTCCGGATGACGGTGTCGTTGTCCACAAACCGCATCACTTGGTGCCATATCGGGACTGTACGGCGGATGTGTCAGAAGGTTCCATTTCAATTTCTGGAAGGTTTCCATTGTTGTTTTGGCCGTATGGGGGTGTGCATTGTCTTGAAGGAGGGCCACCCGCTTTCCACCTCTCTTTCGCTTGGATCGGATCTTTTCCTTCATGTCTGTTGCCAGGAGGTCTGAGTAATAAGCTGCATTGACTGTTCTGGCATCTGTCAGAAAGTCTACATGGATATCCCCCTGCCAGTCCCAGAAGAACATTGCCATCACTTTTCCTCCTTTTGGCTCCTCCGTACTCTCTTGGGTTTGGGAGAACTGGTAAGCCGCCACTCACGTGATGATTGCTGGGACTCGGGAATTAAGTAGTGCACCCACGTTTCATCGGTGGTCACTACAGACTTCAACAATGCATCACCTTCGTCTTCAAACTGCTGTAGGAGACAACTGGCAACTTGCATGTGCACCATTTTGTTCACGTCCATCAAAGTGCGTGGTACCCACCGTGCATTCACCTTGCGATAGTGCAGGTGATATTTCACGATGTCTTCTACACTACCAACACTGATGGACAGCATTGCGCCAAGTTCCTTAATAGTGATGCGCCTATTCTCACGAATAAGTGTGTCTGCACGATCAATGTTTGGCTTGGTGACGGATGTTCGCGGCCGACGATCGTGTGGTTCATTCTCCACGCGCTCTCTGCCCTCTCTGAAGCACTTACACCACTCAAACACATGGGTCTGTGAGAGACACTCTTCCCCATACTGTTGTTGGAGTCTGTGGTGAATTCCAACGAGGAATTTGATCACAATGCGTTGTTCCACGCTCCGCGGTACCTTCTGTACGCTCATCCCTCTAGCAACTCCCAGACAGCACTGAACAGGTTCTAACCCTAACAGGAGGGAGAGTGGAGGTTGTGGCTACAATCTCTCAAAGTCGCACAGCTGTTGCGCAGTGCGGCTTGTTTACAAAAAAATCAGCCCCGGTCATATTTGAACCACCTAGTATATGTACTGCTATGGAATTTAAAGATCTACTGTAAAAATCTATCTGCAATACTGTCATAGAATTTTCACTGTTCAACAGCTCAAGGCTTATAGCATCATGCTCCAACAACACATATCTCTGCATAATAACAACATGAAGTGATACCATTTATAACGAAGTGCTGCATTTACTATACTCTCTTTGCCAATAACTCCCCACTCCAATTCAAACCTTTCTCATGTTGAAACACAAGTCAAGAATCAAGGAGAGATCATAAACTGCTCTAACAATCGTCTACCATGCAGCTGAATGATCTACAATAAGTAAGTCTTAGTGCCTTCAAAAGAAATTTTGTTGGTGTATAATCTCATAACTCAAAAACCACTCCCCTGATTTTGATCAAATTTTATATTGGAGGTCTCTGCACAAATGTCACATAATGTCAAATATCATACAAATATCAGAACAATAGCAGTACTACTTTACATAACAAACAAACTCCATGATTTTAGTTCGCAAGCGAACTATACCGACCGAGCGACCGCTGTTTGTCGGCGTTTGTGTTTAGATGACACAAACTGAAAATCAGAAGGCAGTAACAGCAAAAAAGCTGGAACTGTGCACGTATTTCTGAATCTGTTCAATGTATTTGTTTTAGTTTGGCAATTTCGTATTGGCATAACTGAGAATAGGTTTACATATAAAAAAAAATTTATGTGGACAATACCTTGGAAGTGGACACTTGCCACTTCGACGTTCATCTTCTACATACTGGTGTAGCACTTCCTGAAACCGATGCAGCAAGGCAGTAACAGCTAACCGACCTGCTAGTCCACCTTCCAGGCCACGCACTTCACCAGAATCAAGGCCATCCAGTAAGGAGAACTGCAGCAATGTTTCAAAGCATGTTTTGGCAAATTCCTCACGCAGTTTCTGTTCACTCTCCCCATCTGCGAATAAATAAAATTAACAGATATTATGCACCCTTTCTCTTATTTGCTGCTTTTCATAAGTTTCGATGAGTGAGTGAGTGGGTGGGTAAGTGAATATATACTTCCTGTAAATGAGGCTCTAAAACAACAGATGTTAAAATCACACAAGATCAATTACAAAGATGAAAAATTCTGCGATACTGAACTGACTTGGCAGCGCCTATACCATTATGGAAGACCACAAATTTACAGACATGCTACAGCAATCATCTCCATTATCTTCATTATAATATAGGCACTCCACAAGCAGATGAGATGGTAAGGAGTAGACCAGTGCATAAAGAGAAAATGGCTCACCACGTCACAAATGCCCATGCATCAGATCATTGTATCCAGTCCAAAGGCACATTAGCAGGGCTTCCTCTTTCTGATAGAGATGGAAAAGGGCTGCCACACCTCAAAGGATGAGTTAATTGCCCACTATTTTCTATCCTGTGTGTGGGTCCATTCATTTTGCAAGAAATCGAAAAGAGTAGTATGAAGACACAAACATCACGCCCTACAAACTGCCTTCTTTGCAGGAAGATTCCTACTACTCATTTCCATCAGAGGCTGAGTTGACCCCAGGGCCACAGTGTGGATAGAAGAATTAGGTTAGGTAAAGGAAAAGCTGAGCCGGTCACAGTAGCCGAGTGGTCTAAGGCATGCACTGTCTTCGCTCGCTCGGAAGCCGGGATTGTGGGTTTGAATCCCACTCAGGGCATGAATGTTTGTGTGCATTTTTCTGTGTTTGTGTACAGGCAGAGGCCTTGCGATGAACTGATCACCTGCTCAAGGAGTCCTACCGAATGTCTAAGATCTAGAAAAATCGAAATGAACGGAGAAGTTCATGGAGGTAGGCCTAGGCCCACTGGGGCTGTAGTGCCGAGGGGAGGGGGGGAAAGGGAAAAGCTGTCCCTGCACTTGACTAATTAAGCAGCACTACACCAATGAAGGCATATGGGAGAGTGGATGTATAGAGCCATATCTTCTTGACCTTCGTACTAGCTCAAGGTGAGTGGTCATCTTCACACTCTGCTGCTTTACTCTCCCTGGGAAAAGACCCCCCCAACCACTGGATAGGAGTGACACAGAAAAGTGAAAATTCTTGCTCCCACCGCGACTCAAAGTCCGACCCCTTGGTCATCAAGCCCGTAGTCAGTCACTATGTCCACTACGCTATCCCAGCTCTTTGGATTAGGTTAATTGAAAAAAAAAATCCAATTACCTCATCAGGAATTGTACCCACAACTTTCTGGCTTGCAGTGCAGTGCCTCAACCAACTACACTACCGTGTGTGGGTGATCATAATTCATAGCATTCAATGTACAGCTGTCACTAAAGTTTGTGGCACTTTTCAGGGATAAATATAAAATCAGACTGAAGTGAACATGTGAAAATAATGAAACTCATTCTAAAAAAATAAATTATGTTTGTTTACACATACTGTTTATTTCAAAACTCAATGAATATAACTAAATTAATTAATTCTCAACAATTCAGATTTTATCTGGAACTTCAAAAATGCTATAAATACTATTTATCTTCTAAACCACTCAACTTTGGGTATTTAAGGGCATTTAAAAAACCAGGTCATCATATAGTATGCTGGCAGTTAAATAGCATCACTTAAAGGTTATACAAAACTTACCATTTGTGGAGTTACTGGCAGAGTGAATTGAACCCTTATTGAGTAGCACCACTACTTTCAGAACAAATTCTCTTGGTATGGCATGAGAATGTGGCAGTACTTCATCCCGTAACAGCTCAATCACCTGGCAATCTACTGCCTCGTCTGCCTGTACTTCCTCTGGGCAACGATCTTTAGGAGGACAGCTATAACCAAATTGTTGAAAGTCATCAGTACATGTACAACAAACGTTTTCCATGCCACAGTCCTTTTCCAGTAGATAATAACCACTCAGTCAAGAAATTCCCCACCTTCTATGGAATGTGAAAATTCATTAAAATATTTACGAGGGTCTACATATACAAGAACCAGGCAAAGATCTTCCTATGAAAGAGAAAGGTTTTAGTTCAATTACATTTACTTGGTCCTTCTAAAATATTGTGACAGGACATCAAAAATCCATAAACTTCTGAGTCCGGGAGCTGCAGAAATATCACATACACCCATTTACCAGACAACAGAAGCACACATCCCAGACAGCCAAAGCAGTCAAGGTATCACTGAAAAAATGTTGCCTAGGTGGTACATTACAAGGTTATATAAAGAAGCATGCCAGAATTATCTTATTTTGAGCTGTGAGACAGAAAAATACAGTTGTAAGACCTGTGGGGCCTGGACTCAAGAATGACCTAACCTATCCCAAACTATCTTATTTAAAAATGACAACACTTTTCAAGTATTCACAACCATTATGTAGTTATGGACTCATTGCTGGGCTGCATGCTCACATAATCAGGACTTCTTTATGTGTTCTGCTGTTCTCTTTCACTGGCTCTGGTACATCAGATTGTTGCAGATCAAGAATGAAACACCACCTCCAACAGTTCCCCCACTGTTGTCCATGTATTCATTCCTAGTGATATGTATTTTAACATAATGTGACATGACATCTGAAGAGTGGAACAGTGGAGCCAGAAGAGACAGCTACTGCTATGCAACTGCCCAATAAAGACATGTCCATAGTAACGGATATGAATGCAACCATGCAGGAACAGTTGGAAGCAGTGTTTTCTATGCAGTATATGCTAAGGTTATATGGCCAAGGTCATTGGGAAAAGTTAGTAAGCCATGACTAGAAGTCATGTGTTAGCTGTGAGATGGTAGCCAGCCAGTAAGAACATGAACAACACAAGAAAATCAATTTACATGATTGGAATCCATGACCTAGCAATGCCTGGTGAAGACACAGAACACAGTGTGTGTGCTGCAGTACTGTCAAGTGTGTAGATACACAAAACTGTCAGTTCCTTGTAGTTTGTAGTTATAAGCATTCAGTAAATCAATTACTGATCCATACCCCATGTCTAGTCACTATCATCTCACAATATGTTACCTAGTAATGAAAGCATCTATGACATTCCTCTGATTCCCAGATCCTGACTTTTGGGTGTTGTGTCACAAGATTGTGACTCGTGACACCAAACCCAGCATTACTGAAGCAATATGCAGTTGCATCAAAATGTACTAACTTTCATGCTGCTATTACTAGGTGGAGAGCCTCAAGACATTTAACTTCAGCTCTCCTTTCCTTCCAGCTACAGTCTTCTGCATCAATGCTTTCATGGAATTTACCTTCATGCAAACTGATGGTTCCAAGGTCAAGAAGCTGCAACACACTGGTGCAATTAACAGGAAAACAATTCCCACAGTCCTAAAAAAATGGTTTGTTTGGTGGATGAACTATAAAATTTTCCAAAAACAGCAAGCCTTTCCTCTTAGCACACTCAATTCTTGTACAGAATCCTTTCAGAAAATAGATAAATATCTTCAACATAATCGATGCTTTGTTACCACTGATGCTATTATACTTCTGTGAAACTGTTTCTGAAACATATTAATTTTCCATATTTTCCTTTGGCCAATGGCTATAATTTTCCAATGCCATCAAACTGCAACAAACAACAGGTGAGAACTTCCTTCTATTTTTGCCACCATAGCATGGCTCACCTTTCATATTTAATGTTCTGCTGTGAAGCAGACTATAAAAAAATCCTCTTTCAACACCATTAAACATATTTCTTAGCTTTATAACTTTGCAGAAGACCAGGTAGGAATTCCTTCCTATGTCCTACAGTGTCCTCATTAACACTTCCACTGTATCCACACCCATTCTTATAAAAAGACAGCAAGGTATTTTTAAATTGATTAACAAAGCTATTTCAGGCTTTAAAATTTTCAGCCTCAGGGCTATTTCAGTGACCTTTTCCACAACATCGGTATATTAATCAGAATATTTTGACCTCTACTGCTGGAACCACTGTATGAGGAAATTGATAAGTTCCTTATGCAGTAAAGCCTAAGATCCTCCCTTCTTTTGCTTGTGCAACATACTTGCCTTCCATTTTAAGAACTGAGGCTCTTTGTAACAATACGTTACTTAATGATAATGGAGGCAGCCAAATATAGTTTGCTGCATCAACTTGCAATATGGCTGGATTTTTCTCCATGTCTTCAATAATTCTGATTTCCTCACATACAGTGAGCTTCTTCCTCTTCAATGCCATGGCCATAAAGTAACTTCCACAAAACTAAAATTAACAGAGATACACTGAATGCACAAACAAAAGGTGTAATATGTACTTCCAAATAACATCCCACGCACAGTACGACTCAGTACAGGCAATGTTCATGCAACGTAATAGTTACTAGAGCATACAATGCAAATGATGACCTTCAACAATGCTTGCAAGCCATGATGGAGTTACATTCAAAGATGCCAAAAATTTCCCTTCAACACTATAGTGAGGTCTGAAACATACACAGAAATCAAATTTTCATTCATAAGATGTGAGTAAATCCTTAAAACAAGGAACATCAAACCAAGGAAAATAATATAACTGTGAGACGAAGGGGTATCATACACATACACAAGTACAAGTTGTAAAAAAATGTATGGTATTCTGTACACAGTAGGAAGATTATCGGTCTGTTTCAATCATCATACGCAAATTTCAGAGTATTTATGTAAAAGTTAAAACGGGAAAACAATGCAGAGTTATGAGCATGATATTGGAAAGATAATTAAATTCCTACATACACTATGATACGAATTACATTTGTTTCTTAACATACCTGGTGGGGAAAAGGAACTGGTCAAGGGTGTTGGCCAGTTGAGACCACATTTGCTGGAAAGGTTGAGGGTGCTTACGAGCAAGTGGCAGGCCCGTGTGAAGTACAGTCAACAGACTTGTAACAGCTAACTTCCAGGTACCAGGTGATGGACAGCCATACTTCATTGACAGAGGGACATGAAGTGCCTGTAAATCACCAATGCAGCTTCTACAACTATACCTTTTCAGTCCCAACGATTAGGATTCACCTTTGAAATTACACATGCAATACTGTTCATTTCCTGAAGAGATGTGTGTGTGTTTGTGAGCGCACCTGCATGTACATATAGGTGAATTGAGATTATGCCATTTTATACTCTCTCCCAACTTCAGCATGCAAATATATGACAAAGGAACATTATAACAGCTATCAGACTAATAAATTTGGAAAACAGCGGAAATCTGTGATGAATATTATGTTCAGGACATTTCTGACAATAGTAATGTTATTCTAGCAATTCAGCAAACCTGTCAAGATGGCACTATCCTATAAATGATGTAACATAGAATGCAGTTCATCAGTTTGTACATTACAAGGAAAATCAGTCACAATGAATCAAGTTATTACAGGTACTGGAACTCTTATCCAGGAAGCCTGCGACAAAAGTTGAATTTTCTGGTCCTGTGCCACACATAAGGTTGGACAAATAAATTCTGAGACTAATTTTTTTAAAATTTAAGAGCTGTAGATATTAGCAACCTAGAATTTTTCAAAGTAATCTCCCCCAATTTCTTTACAATGTTGCAAGCACTTCAGCCTTTGTTAAAACAATTTTTAAAATTCTGAACAGGACTGTCTGTCAAAATTATTTTCACAGATAATTTAATCTCCTCAACATCCAAGAAACGCTTTCTTTTCAGCACACTCTTGAGTTCTGGAAACAGCCAGAAGTCATTTTGAGCTAAGGAGGCAGAGTACAATAGATGAGCCACGGCGGAGATGCCTTTTCCTGCTAGAAACTACAACACTTGAAGTGAAAAATGTGCTGGTGCATTGTCATTGTGAAGAAGCAGTCTGCTTGACCGTGTCTCATGGTGTTGTCGCTTGCAGATTTACTTATACTTCTTCAACCCTGAAGATGGGGGCGATACGTTCCTCCGAAACGTCGGTTAACACCACATATACACGGTGCCAAATCCCAGAAGACTGCTTTCTTCATAGTCACTGCCGTGAAAGCCTCAAATCTTACAAGTAACAGATTCATTTAATGATTGCCTCATGATGACCCGACAGGGTCAAAACATGTAGCAATACTTCAACACAATAATGAATACTAATACAGTAATATTGATTTGTTTATTATATAATTGTTGTGTTGACTGATACATTAATAATACCACACATCAATAAGTCTTTTCAACATTCTGTAGAATGTCTCATTACCAGTCGTCTCTTCAGGTGGATGATACCCCTGATGTCCAAAAAAGCAGATCAACATTGTTTTGATCTTGTACTTTGACATCCATGGCTTCTTTGGCCTGGGGATTCACCATAAAGTGTTTTTTGACATTTCTGATGGTTCATTTTGTGATTTCTGCAGCTTAACACAAACATTCACATTCACTCTCTGTTCCACTGTATGCTACATTTTCACATCTGGAAAACGTTGATAACACGTGGTGATCTAAGCCACTGTTTAACAAATACTGAATGCAGCTTATCCAGAATTCTCATGTGAGAATACTAATGTTGTGTCACCAAATATTCCAAGTAACAGCACTGACAGATCGTCTAGTGCAAAATTAAAAATGAGTCTTGAAACTTATTTGTCCAACCTTGTATGATCTATGCACTTATCTCAACACTTAATCATATCTCAGAAGTACGTTTCTATAATTTCATAACGAACTCTTACCTGTAGTTTTATTCCAATACACACAGCGAAAACTTTATATTTATTACAGACATTATTTCCAGAAACAGTAAAATATGTATACAATGGAACATGTCTTAAACACAAACCTCACACAACAGAAAATTTCTCTGTTCCAGATAATATTCAGTTAAAGTTAATTCAAATTTGCTTCTAGTAAATTAAAATTGTAAAATACAGAAAAAGAACACAATAATAGAATGCAAATAGCCTGCCTTTATATTTATATTTTTAGTGCAAATATAATTGTTTCATTCCACGCCTCCAGGAATTAATCTGAGAGGACATTCCTATAGCAAATGTGAAAGCATTAATCCCAAATGATGACAAAATACTTTAATGGACTATTAGGAAAAATATGTAATCATGCAAGAAAGGAAGGAAAATGAAAAAGATATGAAAGAACAAAAAAAAAAAAACTTAGTTTAGCCATAGTTTAATGGATTAATAAGCCAACTTTATATGTTCAATGTTCTGGCGATGAGATATGAGTTTACATTTAATTTTCTCTGCATTCATTTCCACACTTTCTCACTTACATCTGATGTAGTATGAGCAGTTTTCTTTATGGTATTCATGTTTTAAAACAATAAATTAATATCAGCATAGAAAGGACAATGAAATGTTAATTTAATTCCAAATTCCCAATTTCCTTTGATAAAGATACTTAACTGTAACAATACATAGGATCAAGAGAGAAATTTATGCACTACAATACATCGACCTAAATAGGTGGTGTACCTCAATAATATCGTGCAGAATACTGAACTGTATCACAGACATATCACGTGCAGTTTCCTGATAAAGGTTAACTACCATAGAAAGAGCCTTCTCACCAAACGGTACATAGTTCATTGTAATCCAGTCAGCCTGTAACACAACCAAACACATATGCAGTAAAATATATGTTCATGAGCATGGCTTGGAAATTCATAAAAACCTTTGTGCCCAGCAAGATGTTACAGACCATGGGTAGACCAGACAGTGACATTTCATACTTTAGTTATTGGCAAATACGAAAATCCAAATTTCTGAATTCACATCTAACTGTGATGCAACAATAGGTTTTGAAACTGTACCCTTTGTAATACACTAAGATGTTATAATGGTGGAATATGCATGCTTAAACTGTACATAGATATGTAAGATATGAGGTTTTCATGGTGGTGACTATGAAGTAGGCAGTCTTCTGGGATGTGACGCCAGGTAGATATTGTGTTAACCGATGTCCCAGAAGACTGCTAACTTCATGTACACAGATATGTTCCTTTCTTCAACACTTTGCAACATTTTGGAAAGGTTGTTTCATTATATACAGCTGACCTATGATAGAATGAGTAGGGCTTATAAAGAGAATTTCGTTATAATGAGGAAATAACACCAGAACTGTCAATTGTGTTAATATTACAAATATGAAAACATGTGGTATAAAACAGGGACATTCTTCCAGTGCTTTAATCATAACAAGTGATTCCTAGCCAGTCATGAATTCTTTTCCACAACATCCCTGCACAAATATTAAAGGAAGCTAAGAAGAGGGAAAATGATAGGCATATAGCTAATGCAAAAAACAAAACTAGAGCAATGTGGCAAATAGTGAATAAGGAATTAGGAAATAACCAGCAAAGGGACCTTGGAATAGAACTAAAGCACGGGACAAGGAAAGAGGCTAATACACAGCATATAGCTGAAATGTTTAATTTATATTTTGCAGACATAGTAGGAAAGCTTGTCAGTCAAAATAATAGTGCAATGTTGTGCTGTAAAACACCACAGAGAATAAATACCTGTAATGAAACCATGTTTATTTGTCCAGTGACAAAAAACGAGATATTAGAAGTGGTGAAGAAATTTAGGGGGAAATCTTCAGCAGGTACCGATGAAATACCGGATTATGTGGTTAAAAAATGTATAGAAGCGGTTAAAATGCCATTAGCCCACATTTATAATGCCTCTCTAGAAGCAGGTATTTTCCCAGAGAGATTTAAGATAGCAAAGGTAAAACCACTCCATAAAAACGGAGACAAGAAGGATATGAAAAATTACAGATCAATATCCTTTTTGTGTGCTTTCTCGAAAATCTTGGAAAAGTTGATGCAGAATAGGTTACTCTCGTTTTTGACAAGAAATACCATATTAACAGAGGCCCAACATGGATTTAGGATGAATAGGTCGACTGAGACTGCAATTTACTCTTTTCTAGCAAATACACAGGAATCAGCTGAGAATAAAGAAAAACAGGTCGGAATTTTTTGTGATTTAACTAAAGCGTATGATGCCATAAATCATGACACCTTACTTTCTAAATTGCAAACATATGGAGTGAGAGGTGTGGCAAACTTATGGTTTAAATCATATTTGGCGTACCAGAAGCAAGTTGTTGAAATAAGTTGTGATGGCAAAATTATTTATCGGCTCCAAGAGAAATTAAATATGGAGTACCACAAGGTTCAGTGCTTGGGCCATTATTATTTTTATTATACAGAAATGATCTGCCTTTGAATATCAAAGAGGCGAGGATAGTTTTGTTTGCAGATGATATAAATATTTTGGTAACAGCTGAAAAGGAACATATCCTGCAGCAAAAGATAAATAAAGTCATGAACGAGTTATATGGATGGTTCAATGCAAATAATCTTATATTGAATGCTGAGAAAACAATAGCAATGACATTTCATAATAGACAAGAAAGAGATTTGATAAAACCTCAAATCAAATTTGTCAAACTGGAGATCTCCTATAAATGTGAAATGAAATTTCTAGGTATACATGTTGGTGAACATATGGAGTGGAAAGCACATATGATGTTCTTAAGCTCAACACTTCATAAAGTCTGTTACATGATAAAATCCCTTAGGGATGTAACAAGCCGACAGGTTATTAGGAGTATTTACTTTGCTCACTTCCATGCTTATTTGAAGTATGGTTTAATTTTCTGGGGTAGCGACCCAAAAAGTAAAATTATATTTAAATTGCACAAACAAATTGTTAGAATAATTAGTGGTGTGAGTAGATTAGCATCATGTAGACAACTCTTTAAGGATTTAAACCTACTTCCACTACCTTGTATGTATATATTTGGAATAGTATGCCATGTTAAACTACATTTAGAAAAGTTTGAACAAAATAACATAGTTCATAATCACAATACACGCCAGAAGTTAAATCTCCATGCTCAGTTTTGCAGAACAAATGCCTATAAGAAAGGAGTACTGAACATGGGAATAAAATTATACAATAAAATACCAAATAAAATCAGGGAGATAGAAAAAATGAGACAGTTTAACTCTTTGACTGGCACGGGCGTGTTTTAACGCCCAGACGATGCCAGCCGTTCCCTGGCGTTGGCGTGTTTTACCGCTTTGACAATTTCTTCCCTTCTTTGCTCTCTTGGCACTCATCAACCAAAGACATATATATGATAGTTTTTGTGCATGTTTGTAAAGAACCCTTGTAAACTTTGTGGGGGTCTATATTACTGTCAGAACCCTCTGAGAAGGAAAAGGTCAGAAAATATTTCACATTCATTCAGTTTCACCATGGCTTCTTGCAGCAAGTGTCTTCGTGTTCCTACAGACCAGCTGGAAAATGTTGTGAACGAGATTTGTTCTGATGATGATAGTGGCGATGAAATAATGATTCCTGAATTGGATGAAGTTGATAGTGACAATAATACAGTGATAGACAATGATCCACAAGACAGTAATCATGAACATTTACCTACCACGAGTGCGGTGCCTGACACGCCCATCTCATGAACGTACGGAGACATTGTACCCCCAATATTTCCATTTGCTAATAGTTTCGGGATCAAAATTGATATAACACATAAAATGCATCCCTTTTCATGGATTAAAATTTTTTCTGGATGACGACTTGGTAAATCACATCACAACTGAAACCAATCGCTATGCTCACCAGCACTTCAACACACATGAGTTAGCTCCTCACTCTCGAAAACACAATTACAATTATGTCACATCAGATGAAATCTGGACATACTTAGGAATTGTGTTCATGACAGGAATCGACAAACGCCCTGAAATTGAAGAATAATTGTCCACTAGGCCCCTATTTCACACTCCATGGTATGGACAAATCATGTCTTTGCAGTTGAATAGTTTCGTTCTATTCAAAAAGAACACAACAAACGAAAAATACAAGAAGAGAAATTACAAATTCAAAGATTTTATACTGGACTGTGTAGAAAAATGACTGAACCAAACAAACAGTGTGGAGAGGGAGAAGATTCAAGGAACGAAGTGGATGACGAATTTATTGCGTCAGACTCGAGTGCAGTCACGCCTCCGCCCTCGACCTTGAAAAGACCACCAGTGAAAGAGCCAGTAGCTCGTCTTGAGGGTGGCCTGAAAATTCACAAAATGGTCCATGTTCCTCCCAGTAACAAGAAGAATGGTGCCCTGAGAAAGTGTCGCATGAGTGCTAAGCACAAGATTAGAAAAGAAACAAGTGACGTGTGCAGGCTCTGGTGTGGTCTCTGCAAACTTTCATGTTTCAATGTTTATTACGTGAAGAAAAACTAATAAAGAGGTATGGAAAGGCATTTATTGCATAAAATATTGTCTTTTAATTAGTTCCTGAAAATTTCGTTTTTAAAAACAATTTTTGTTGAAGTTGTTTAGAAAAAAGTAACTACATCCATTTTAGCGACATAAGGTTTAAAGGGCCTGCCAGGACAGGGGTGGGATTTAAATACCCTTCGCGCCAGTCAAAGAGTTAAAAAAGTAATGAGGTCATATCTGGTATAACATACGTTTTATTCTGTAGAGGAATATATGTTAAATTAAAGATGGTATGTTTGTGAAAAGGGGGTATTTATTTTTAATTATAGAAATTGAACTATTGTATGTTTAATATGTATGGAACGTTTTCCTATGACAGTGATTTGACGAGGAAGGAAGAATGGATTGGTTGATTGATTGACTGATTGATTGATGTGAAATGGACTGAACTGCTTACTCTGTTGGGGAACTTAAGTTGTCTTAAATTTTTAATATAGTTTTATATGGTATGTTGGACATGTACACAATTTGTGTATGTTGTTAAATATTAAATTATAGCATTACTGACTTTTATACAAATAATTTGACTTGTTCTATATCTGGAGGCTGTATTGAAAAATGTGGATTTCTGGAACAAATAAAAATGAATGAATGAATGAACTACAACTGCAGGTTTGCTTTGAAAGCTACATGTAGTCTGTAGACCTATATCTGAAAAAGGTATGGCTGAACAGAGAATTTACATGACCTTGATGGAGAAGTGGTCAGCACATATGAGCAGAACTGTTCTAATCTGCTACTGAATAACTGTGGCTGACGGATGTATATAACGAAATTATGACATCATGGGAAACACTTTCACTTCTCCACTCAGTGTTATTATTATTCCTTGTTATTTTTATGTCCACATGACAACCACTCCATACAATAGGTCAAGTCTATATGGCATAACAATTCTGGTGTACTATGTCACTGCCTGCAGACATCATAAAATCAATTTTATTGAAAACTTTATAATGTACAGGGAAAATTTATTGGACATAATAACATGAGCTTAATTTTATCTGCAATTTTTGCTGGAAATAATTACCTTTCTGATAAATATTTAGTGAGTTACTTGTGAAGTGTGCACAGCCACACATTTGTCTGCATGTAAAATGTTCATTAATGTTTGATTTTAACTAATACTGAAATGTGTTAGCAAATTTTAGTAAAACTCCCCAATACAAAATCTGATAAAAATTTGTCTACTGGTTCTCAAGTTGCTACATGTAGATGGATGGAGAGACAAACATAGCAAAGCTAATATGCTCATTCTTCCAACTTTTCATTGCAAACACACCAAAAAGAATAAATATTGCTGCACCTGCATTAATTGTTTAAACTTAAATGCCGTATAGCAATATACTACATCTAGTTGGAACTTAGTCTAAAAGATTATGTATTTCAACAATTTTCAACTATTACAAGTAGTCGTCATGACAAGGAATTCAGAGGTTTTGTTAAGTTCTCCTTACAATAAAGCTTCACTGTATATTCATATTATGTAAAATATTTACATTAAGTTCTGTCAATGTTCAGTTAACATTCAACAGATAGATATAAATAGATAAATAAATACATAAATAAATAAATGAACAAGTCAATGAATACTAACTTTGCAGAAAAGAACACCCTTGAAAAATAATCAGTTATTCAAGAAACGTCTTACTTCTGTGGAACCCAAAGGTTTTCAATTGCCTTTAAAAGCTAAAGATTAAATACCACCTTAAGAAAGTTGAATCCAATCAGTGTCTTTATAATGAATTTGTACATTATAATATGATGATTCTACCTAGCCTAGTTCTTCCAAGGCACACAGTCTATGGACTACTTGGAAGACCAAAGTACAGATGTGTGGATAACCAAAGGGTTGTAGACCAACATTTTTTATGTATTCAATTTAATGACGCTTGCAATATATCCCACCCACCTGAAATACACCTCACCCTAGCAATACTGGGTAATGATCACAAATTATCAAATTCTTCTATGCAATTTCATCCATCCTCCTGTCACTCTCTCTTTCTTGGGTTCAAACATAGTCTTCAGCATTTTGTTATAAAAATAAATCAATGAATAAATAAATTACAGAAAACCTAGAACTTTGCCACATTCCATCCAACAGCACCCATCCTCTGAACATTATAATTACTATCTTTACTATTACAATATCACCAATAATATTTTTTAATAACCACATTCCCAGAACAGAGCATTTCAATTTGAGACTTCTTGTTCTTACAACACACTTACTGTGCTGCCTTTCATCTGACAGATGTTCTTTGTTTCCAGGTTTCCATATGGTGGAGGCTGGCAAGCAAACTTGCTAAACACAAGAAGCTGATGAAATATTGCAGCTATCATTGTTTTCATGTTATCTGCTCCAGCTAAGGCCTCCTGAAACATTTGAGGTTACACATAACTATCCAGATGTTTCATATATTCTTTACTATCACATCCTTTTTACTCTTACTCCCTTACACAAATTCTTATTACACATGAACACACAAGCTGCACACACATCTCCATGCACCCCAATGCATGCACATAAAACATACATACACAACACCTCAAAGAACTGAAAATTCCTTGTAGTGATGATATGCAATTTTTAAGAATTTTGAGTCAGGGCCTGATTACAAAACCAACACCATTAATCGGTAAAAGTTATCCACATTATAGCACATTGACAAAAGAGGAAAGTTAACACTGAGTAATTTATTTTGCTTCTTCCAAGTAAAATCCTTTCTAAACAACCTTACTTGACTGACATATGCCAGATGCTTGTTGCTTAAAACTCTTAATGACAGAGAAAGCAAGCTCTCAAAATTCTAGGAACCATATAAATGAACAGAAACAGACTTGTCTGGGGTCACATGGTTAGATAGTATCATTTTTGGTCTGGATTTCATCAAAATCTGCCAACATTATAAGTACTTCACAGTATGAAATTGGAGCTTCAAGTGTAGTGTTGATCCAAGCTGTCCAATATGGATGAAAGCTGAATTTAACTGACAATACTCCATAAATACTCATACATTAAAAGTAATAAAAATGCATTCATTATAATGGAATATTTTTTTATATCAAAAGACATAGACAGACAACGGGCACCCTTCTTCAAACCCAAACTGAACCAGGCCGAGTTATTTTCACATCCCTATGAAGGACATATTTACTGAAACTTGTTTTTCTGACAACTTGAGGATTTCCCAGAACTCCCATGTTCATCTACGATGGACATTCTGTAAATAATGCCTACGATTTTTTTGTGTTAATATGTAATGTCTGAGATGGATGTTGGTGGTGTTGTAGTAAAGGTTCAATCTTCCTGCCAATGTACTGTTAGTTTGGTTGTCATGCGACAGATAGCGACAGCAGCACAGTCTACCAAAATGGTGTCTGACATAGAAGTGCGCATGAAACAGAGATGTGTTATTGAATTTCTCACTGCCAAACAAATTGTACCCATTGACATCCATTGATACTTGCTAAAGGTGTACGTAGACAATACAGTGGAAGTCAGCACAGTGAGGCAGTGGGTAGCGCGTTTCAACAGTGGTGAAAGTGAAGTGCACGACAAGCCACGCCCTGGGCGTCCCTGCTCAGCTGCCACTCCTCACAATGAACAGCGCCTCATCCGTACAAATCAGCAGATAACGACCAGGGACTGTCAATTCTGAACGCTACAAAACGACGCTGACTAAGCTGAAAGCCCGCATTTCCCGAGTCAGGCCAAAGAAGCAGACAACCTTTTGCTTGCAACACGATAACGCTAGACCCCATACCAGTTTGGCGACCACCGCGCACATTGCAAAGTTTGGCTGGACTGTCCTACCACATCCACCTTATATCCCCAGTTTAGCACCTTCAGACTTCCATCTCTTTGGGCCTATGAAAGATGGACTACATGGGCAACATTTTCCAGACAATGATGCTGTCATTGCAGCTGTAAGAAAGTGGCTAGCCTCTGCTGGCACAGACTTTTACAGGCGCAGCATACAGGCTCTTGTTCATCACTGGCAAAAGTGCATAACGAATGGTGGTGATTACGTGGAAAAATAACTGTAAGTAGCTGAAATCTTGCTCTATTTAACTGCATTATTATGCTTTCTGTATCTGTTGTGGTTTTCTTTAAAAAATAGGAGGCATTATATACAGAACGCTCCTTGTAAACAATGACAAAATGTTTCCCAGGCTTTATGCAACCCTGTTACAAGAAGTGTCAGTCAAATACAAGTTCAGCAGTGATGTGGCTTGTAAGATGACATGCAGAAACGAAAGATACAAACATCTATCACACTGGCAGATTCGGATCCATAACATAAATAAATGTGGGATCAAGAAGTCACACTTTAGCGGTCATATACAAAATTTTCTGTAGGCCTGGGTGCCATCTCCAAAAAATCAGAGCCCTACTGAAATAAAAAGATCGGTAACATATTCCTTTTCTTGTTAGTTATTTTACATGACCGTCAGTACAGTTAGTGCCTCGTAACTTTAGTCATGTGGAAAGGTAAATGCTGTTGTGGAGCACGCGAAGCTGTACGTTTGCTGTGGTGACGTTCAGAGCTACTCCCCAAGTGGAAAACATTGCCTACGGAGACCAACTAACAAGTAACACAATGTACTATACACCTGACCACACTCCAAGATGCTACATTCCAAACTGGTAGTACCCACACTGATGTAAGCTGATAAGAGCTCTGCGAGAGATGGTATGACCCCTCCACCATGGCTAGAGTTCCAAGGAAAAACAGTAGCTTGACTACATAGCACTGCATGGCAGGAAAAATGATGAACTGGAAAGGATCTGGAAGGAAGCAGTCATGGCGTAATCAAGGTAGTAACCTGGCATTTATCTTGAAGGACTAAAGAAAACCACAAAAACTTCAGCAATGAAACCTGGTGTCCGAACCAAACTTTGAACTACACACCACCCAAATATAAATCCAGAGCATAACCACTAGACCAACCTCCTTGATGTCACTTCTAACGATGACTCGATCACATGTACGAGCATCGTTCAGTATGTGTCTGGAGCAAGAGTACAATAACTGATTGCATGGGTAACCTCTAAGATGAAAATGCAGATTAATTTAAAATCACTAGTTACTCAAATCACAATACTCATATTTTCATGATGACTGTTGATGTTAATAAGATAAAGATTCCTGATTTCACCATTGGCTGAAATTGTGATCTGAATTATGAAATCAGTACTATATGTGACAAATTTTTAAACTTTCAATATGAAAATATAAATAACTATATGAATATTCTAGAACATTCTAAGCATCACAATGATAAACTCAGGCACCATGGTGACCTAGTGCCACGAGTTTGTTTAGCCTAGTCATGCCCCTCCTGCAGTCAATTATACTGTCACAGGAAATGAACAGGAGGGTGGGGTGTCACACACTGGCTGTTGTGTACCACTCATACCCCCCCCCCCTTCTTTTTGGTTCTTTGAGAAACACAGAGGACATCATTCATTCACAAAACTACAGGATCATTCTGGAAATATTATATACATAAAACAGACGCTGCAGACCTCTGTGTGAATAGATAGTTGTAAAATAGTGCAAACATGCACAACAGACATGGAACAGTGCAGAACATAAATTAAGAAGTTAGTTCAGTGTTGGCAGAGACAAAAAAAAGGGGGCAGCGCAGTGGCATTACTGTGAAACAATAGTGGAGAAGACAAAATGACATCAAGATTGTAACTAGTGAAACAAAAACTGTTAGAAGCAGAGATAAATATTACAATACTTTTAATCATATGAACTGGAGAAAAAATTAAATTACCATATATACCTGCCATATATTTTAAAATTCTATGAGATATGTAATTTACAAGTGAAAATTACTATTCAAATGATATTTTGTATGCTAAGATTTTTTTTTATTTGTAATTGTTTGTGCAACTGCATGTGACCAATCTGTAACATGCCTTCTGCAGAAGCTCCATGGAGTGCAACACACCATCCTGCAGTTGTGTGAGAACCACATCATTTGAAGATGGTAGAATGAATGGAGATGCCTCTCCTTGAACTGGAACCACAACTGCATTTTGAAGAACACTACACAGTTTCTGTAGATCTGAAGCTACAAACCTGAAAGAGATTTAAAAGTTCTTCCATTTAAATCTTCACAAAAATACTAACCGCAAAATAAAAAAAATGCACGCACACACATCTTCACAAAATACTAATTGTAAAACATATACATACATTGTTAATCAGTGATAACAGAAAATGTATCAAAGTAAAAACATTTTAAAAGTACCATCTTCTCCTTTTAATACAGTTCACCACTCTGTTCTCCAATAAAAAAAATGCAGTGAAACTTCAATTTTATTAACTTATCTGTATTAGTTACACTTGTAATACTGTGACGTGAAAACCAACAAGGTGATGAATGCTTAAATCATGTCAGTCAACCAGTGCATGCTCAATAACAGTAACAGTGACTTGACAACATACACGAGCCTGTAACACCAGGCACTCATTTCCAGTTAACTGCAGGTACAGCCAAATGCTGTTCTTTCAGTGTTGTTCCGCAAGTCTTTGCTTAAAATGGATGACTATACATTCCAAAAATATGCAGATATACATTTAATTCTTGGTGATTCCAGTGGTAACAGGGCACACACCTGTAAGGTCGTAAGTGAAGGGGTATCTTCCACACTGCCTCCTGAACACAAACTGATCATTAATCAGGGTAACCACTATTGTTTGCTATTCTGCAATAGGATGCCTAAGACACTGAAGTGTAAGAATGGATGTGGAAAACTGCATACTGAGATGCAAAGAGAAGAATGTCTGTACCAGCATTTGCCAAGTACAAGGAACTGAACATACGGCATGCATTACAGCATGGTCAGTTCTCCATGAACAGCCTGAACAATCATATCAGAAACAAGTACAAAATTGATAAGTTGGGACTCATCATGTAAATGCTGTTTGAAACGTTCCCACATTGAAATTTTGGTCAAAACTCATACTGAACTTGAACAGTAGCACTATGGTAAAAATCTTCTCATCTACAACACATGTCCTGTTGAGTATGCCACCCCATTCAGCACACCTTCATGATGTTGCCACTACAGACAGAAAATTCTCCAACAATGGTTGTAGTAAGTGATGTCATATGATTATATATATGTCACATGCTTTAATGAATAAACACAAATACAACTGCAGCGCTGTTTTGGAAATATCCCGTAAATGGTAGGCCCCATACTATTAAAGAATAGCCCACTCAATATTCAAGGAATTACTGGACATACCTTGTTCTTATGTGCTGAAAGACTGCAGGGAATATCTGAACTAGAGCAGTAAGGAACGGCTGTGAAGGGATGTACAATTCATCTACAACATCAACAATTTCTTCAGGAGGAGTGGTGCTCTCTGCACCAATGCTCAGCCATACTCGCCATGCGACACCCCACACTCCAGTCTCTTCACTGGCAGGGATAACTGGAGCTGATGCTACAGTACCTTCACTTTCTTTGTTCAGGTACAGTATCTCCTGAAATGCTTTCAATGCTGCCAGGCTTACCTACCAACAAATTTTTTTTCACTACTTATAGTACAATCAGGTATTTGCGTTATCATATTATTTAGCATTACACTCAACATTCTTTAACTAGACAATCAAGACCATATTAACATGTTCTGTTCTAATAAGTCACTTAGTTATTTCCTGAAGCTAAACATGAAACATAATACACGTATCAGCAACTGATGACTTTTGGACATTATCCACTATCCTGTTTTTTTTACTTATTTGGTTTTCAGAAATGTGAGTACAAGAAATAAACCTTCAAGCTCATACTATAACCTAACATTTTAAACTTATCAAACAAATTTGATTCTTTGCCACAAAATTTATAACAGTAATTATTTAATTAATTGTGTAACTTACATTTTCCACTCTATGACATACTTTCAAATTGCTGTTTATTACTGTTAACTTAATGTATGATGTTACTAAAGAGACAACCAGCATATAACATTTTTTACAGCACAGTCCCACTCACAATAAATTATTTTTATGACAATGCTTATTTTCATGACAGCTTCCCATTTCCCAGCTGCTTTTACTTTCTTATGAGTCCCAATCTATTGTTGTGACACAAAAAAGTAGAGAAGCAATATACTGAAAGGCAAAAGACTACTACTATAGCAATCATTCCTATTCAGAAAGGGTGGTTGGGCGGATATTTCAACTGGTCTGAAACACTGATCTGTTTTACACAACAAAGGTTCTTTTTCCATCCTCAGTCTATTTACAAATGATGAAAGCTGATTAAAATATAGCCATTCCTGAGCCACGAGGTAACCTCTAAGGTACAAGAAGGTTAAGTCATAAGTAGGGACCGGATTTTTATGCCCTAATAATCCCTTAAATATGTATACATTTATGCATGAAAAACTTCCAAAATATTAACGTAAAATGTGCACATAAGCAGTTAACAAAAAATATTAAAATTGATTTTACATTATTTTAAGACCAACAAATCAACATTTAATTTTATGTAATCACCGAATGATTCACTTGCAATGAAAAGCTATACATAAATACAAATCATGCAACTAAGCCAATATTTTTTCATTACAAGTTTAAAAAAACAATGGTACTCATATTCTGCTCTCCAGACCGACTTCTGTTGCAGACACAATTACTAAATATTTTGCATTTTCCATACTTAGTCACCTCCTATTGTCTAGTAAAATGTCCTTATAGTGGGAAAAGCTTCTTTCCACCTCACAGGAACTTAAGGGCACATGTACAACAGCCACTATTTTTTCCACTGTTGGTGATTTTTTACTTGGCAGTTCAGTACATTTGCTGCCCCAAATTTCTTCAATTTCACAATATTGTTCACATCCTGGGTTTTTGAAAGAATGCTGTGTAATTCTTCCTTTACTATTTCACCAACTCTTCCAGGAACCAAATTCAATTTGGAAACAGTTATTCTGAATACACTTACCAAATGATACAAAGCAGTACTGATATTGCTTTCCTCCAGTGAGGAAATGGCAGATGGAAGATGAGAGAAGTGAACAGATATACAGGTGAGATCAGTTTCTAGTTCTGCATTTTTTAGTACATCCTGGGCAATTTGAACTGATGCTGCACTTTTGGGACCAAATGTATTCATGACATCCTAACTGTTTCTAAATGTCTGGTACAATAACTCAGGGAATACAGCCATGTGCCCAAGGGCATTAAAACTGGTTCTGGCAGAAGCGGAATGTTCAGTACTACTGCTTTAAAGGCTTCTTCTATATGGTGCTTCAACAAATACCTTCTTCATACGAGACACCATTTGTCAGCTATCACAAAATTTGCACAAACTGTTTCTGCAGCACAGCAATACAAGTCAAGTGTGTCATATTTTGAAATATAATTTTAAGAGCAATACCAGGTTTGATTATTTGCATCATCAGTGACAAAGAGCAATAAGCACTCATACTGAAAGCTATTCGGCCATAGTAAATTCGTGGAGGCGATAAAAATTTCAGAAACCACGGAGGTATTTGTGGTTTCAAATTGCTCTACCACAAGAAAATATGAGGTAGATCATTCATTCTTACTAAAGGATCTAACTATAATATTTGTAATAAACCATGCCTCATAGTCTTGTGTTTCGTCAATTGATACCCACACAGAATTATCTTGAATCTTATCTCCAACGTTTTCAATTGCAGGTTCATAACACTGCTTAACATAATTTCTGTCCACAGCAGATTCATCTGGCACTTTGTACTGTCTATACTTCTTTATGAAGTTTCTCAGAGTATGACTGGTTAATTTCCACAGCGCAATATCTGCCAGTAAAAAGGCTTCACACAAGTCAAATGACAATTGCAAAAAACTATTATTAGAAAATTCACTAAGCAATTTTTGAACAGGAGCACATAATTTTAACACTCTCTCTTTGTATATTAGTGTTCAAATGCTGAAGCACTTGAAAGCGTTTTTCACATGATTGGCAATTAAAAATGTTATCTGTAATTATCATCTCTCCTTGAAACTCCTGCTGATGCAGCTGTAATTTAGTTTTTTGACTTACTTTCACTTTCGTCATGACTACAAAAAGCTAAACAACTTTAACCACAGACTAGTCATCACTAATATGAATGACCCCAGCTCTAAATGAAGAAGTGTAGCAAACCTGATAGAGACTTCAGAAAAAAATAAATAAATGAAGTCCATCAATAGTATTGTGTTGCTAGAAGCTACATGTGAATAGGCTCCAACTAATCCCTGCACAGCCACTTTGACAGTAGGTGGTTGAGACAAGTCATGAGTAGAAGGATCAGGAGAGTCCCATCCTGGGTACTGCATCAGAAATATGAATCCAGACTCAACTTTCTATTTGGCTGATTCAATGCAATAAAGAGTAAGGCAGACACAATGAATACAGAAGGGTGAACATCTAGAATTTGGCACATAACGAGCAGTGTATGGCAACAAGTACAATGAGTTTTACCTTCTGAGATATAATACCATGTAGTCTGTTGAAAGTCAACTAACTTTTGGAGGAACATGATGCCCCCATCTTCAGAGTTGAAATATATGCCAAGCAAGAAATCAACATGCAGCAGGTAGCAAGCAGAGCAACCCATCTGCTGAAAGCTTCGGTTTGTATAAGAAACTGGAGGAAGCTGAAAGATAACTTGTCATTTCTAATTGGTTCACTCACAGGACAGAGTGAACCAATAGGAATGCAGGACAACTTGCCAGTTCTCATTCGTTCTCTCACAAAACAGACTGAACCAATAAGAGGCAAGAGAAGGATGCCTAGCATTCACCCTGAAAAGTGCTGATGAAGTTGATCTGGGAACACACGAAGACAGGCAGTAAGACTGTGGTGGGGGATAAAAACAGAAAAACTAGAAGAGGGATGCCAGGACAGGAAAGAAAGGCTTAGGGATGATAGACGCCAGGAGACAGCAAAGTTGGTTCCTTGCTAAGGGCACTGTGTACAGACCTATGCATGTGAATCCAATGAAGAAGGTGGCCACTATTCAAGAAACAAATGGCAGTTGACAAGAAGAGATATCCAAGGCTTGAGAAACAAACAGGAATTGATGAGAAGAGATGACCGAAGCTTGAGAAACAATAGTGAACTAGCAAGAGGAGGTGACTGACACTTGAGAAACATGTGAGAGCTTGCAAGAAGACACAACTGATGCTCAGGAAATAAGTTCGAGCCAGTGGGAAGTACAGGCAGATACAGTGAAATAATACAGGAACTGCTGGAACTGGTGTTTTCTATGCGGACCATACTGAGGCTACAAAATGAGGACCAACGGGACCAAGTTAGTCATATAAGAGTAGATGCATGACTCTCTTAGTTGTGAGACAGTGAAATATGGTCATAATTCCCATAGTACCTGGAACCAAAAATAACTGTGCTGATGAGGGTCAACAGCAACTTATCATACAGACAACTGTGAGACAGAAAAATATGGTCATTAATCCTGCAGGACTTGGAGTCAAGAACGGCTATGCTGGAAAGAACCAACAGCAATTTACCTGACTGACTGACTGACAAATCAGTCAGTCCTGAGCTGACAGCTGCAGTCAGTGGTTAGCCATAAGCACGGAAGTAGAGGAAGCTTCACTGCTGGAGGTCACTAATAAGCGATGACTAATAAAAACATAACAGATGAAAAGACCATGCATGTACAACTTTCATCCTTATGATATACGCATAGCTATCTGCATAATGTCAGAAGCCTTGACATTTGTCTGTTCAAAGTGATAATATATGGTACAAATGAGGGGGCAATGATATTTTACCAAAAAACTGTGCTTAAAACTTGGAGTGAACATGTGGCATAACAAATTTAAATCACATGTGAAAGATTAACCACAATTGTGTGCACATGTGTTGGGTCTGTCAGAGAAGTTACCAGATATTAAAAATATACTAAGTGCTTGAAGCTTTCTACAGAGTAGGAGTGGGTCCAATTTCAAGGCCTCTTAGTAAAGTGGCAAGCAGCTTCATATTATTTACTAGAGTTACAGTGAAGAAACTTTCTTAGTAACAATTTGATTAGCATATTTTAAAATCTGAATATCATTATTTGCTATAAATTTATTTATTTGTTAAGACAATTATACATAAAATTGGTAATGGAAATGACCCCTGTTACTACTTAATTTCCCTTTTCTTCTTTTAATTCAAAATAAAATTCCACTGGCCCTGTAGTTTGCCTATTAGGAAAAAACATGAGACAGAGAAACTGAACTGGCCCCATTTTGACACATTACCTCATTATTTTTACTTAATGCAGAATTTTCTATGAATTCAAGTAGCAGGGACCAGGCTCGAGGAAAGTCACCAAGTGTTTGAAGCAACTGTCTCTTTGTGTTGAATACTCTTGCTACACCAGATAATGTCAAAACCTGTTAACACACAATGCATAAATAAATAATTTTCTTTACCTAATTTGCCCATGAACATGTACAGAGTTACTGCTGTTACCTGACGAAGATACCATCTGTACCCACATAAAATCAATATAACCTGTCAAGAATTCATACCATATCTTCTGGGTTGTGACATCATTTAATCTGGTATATGGGTACCAACATTTTGGAGGAATGTACTGTACTGAACATGGAGGCAGGATGTTCCTCCAAAACACTGGTACCATCCACCAGACTACACGGTCGTAACATTCAAGACCACAATATGAATCTTTGCCATGGTGAAACCTTCACATTGTATGTAACAAACAAAATTTCATAATGACATTTCATTGTCCAGTTACTGGACACTGATCCTACTTAGTTATAGTTTAATTTCTAACTTAACCATTTTGCTGTGTTGGTTTAAGAGAGCATGGCATTAGACAGAGCACAAAACATGAGGACTTAAGACATTTTAACGACATACATCTTTGACAAATTTGGGATTAAACAAGAACATCTCAAAGATCAATCTAACAACACACACAACTTAAATATAATATGGAAATATTATAAATATAAATATAAATATGGAACATGAAGAATATATGAATTGGTTGTCAACTTACACAGCTTTTGAAGGATGTACAGACATCGTACTTCATTTTATAGTCCTATGTTGAGGTGAATACCAGATACCATATCTTATCTTTTTATTAAGTTCAGGAAATGTTTTGACATCTGTTGGTGCAGTTGTGTACTAACTGGTCATGATTCATTTTTTAGTAAATTGTTATTTTATTATGGAAAGCATATTCAATATATATAGGTCATACCGAAAGTCATGAGTAACTTTTTTTTGCACGCAACCTGGGAACAGTAGACGAAAGAGAGTATGGTGGTAGGTGGAACCAGCTGTTGTGTTAACCTTGAGTGTCTTGTGATATCAACAGCTTGCATCATGTGACCAGTATCACTCCTAACAAAATGAACGACAACCATATGTTGCTTTGCCAGCATGCTGTCATCGAATTTCTTGTGAAAGAGGAAATCCCTGCTGCAGAAATTCACCAGAGACTTCAGCATGCTTATGGAAGTGTGCGCATTGGTGCAAGCAGTGTTTGAAGATGGGTGAAACATTTTAAAGATGGGAACACCAGCATCAAAGATGAGCCTCAGAGCGGTTGTCCTCGAACAGCCTCAACTGAACACAACAAGGAAAGAGTGGATGAGATCATTCAAGATGAGAGGCGTGTGACTGTGGACACAACAGCCCGAAAACTTGGAATAGGGCACAGTGCAGTACAGGAGATGATTGAAAGCTTGGGCTATAGGAAAGTTTGTGCTCATTGGCCCCCGCGGTTATTGACCAAAGACCACAAAAGGTCAGCAAAAAGCCATCACCTCAGAACTGCTGCAGAGATATCGACACGAAGGTGATGATTTTTTGCTCTGTATTGTGACAGGTGATGAAAGCTGGTTTCACCATTTCAAGCCTGAAACGAAACGGCAGAGTATGGAATGGCACCATTTGCATTCTCCATCAAAAAAGAAGGCAAAGATAGTGCCATCAGCTGCAAAGGTGATGGGCACAGTCTTCTGGGATGCAGAGGGGTTTATTCTGGCCGAACTCCTGGAACCTGGGCAAACCATCAATGCTGCTCGTTATGTCCAAACGCCGCACAAGCTCTGTCGTGCGTTGCATGATAAACGTCCAGGATGAAACATCATCAAACTGTATGACAACGCTTGCCTCACATTGGAAGCAATCACAAAGATGGGGTGGGAAGTTCTTCTACACCCCTTGTATAGCCCTGATCTGGCACCTTCCAACTACCATCTTTTCGAATTTGTGAAGAATCAGCTGCGTGGACGTTTTGAGACACGGGAGGCAATTCAGAAAGCAGTGTGTCAGTGTCTTCAGATGGCTGAAATGGAATTTTACAGAAGGGGAATTTTCAAACTCCCAGAATGCTGGGAGAAAGGTGTACAAAGAAGTGGCGATTATGTGGAAAAATAAAGAAAGGTCTGTAGATTGAGGTGGTGTATTTGGTTTGTCAATAATAAAGCATGTTACTTTATAAAAAATTGTTGCTCATGACTTTCAGTATGACCCTCTTATTTGTTTATATTTAATTGGAACACAGAAACCACATACAAGAGGAAAACACACATAATTAAAAGTGGGAAGAGAAAAATTTTAAACTAACAGGAAAACTTAGATTGTAAGTTGGTATTACGAATAAGGAAAATTATTCCCAACTGAAGATGTCAACCATCAACATGTGTAATGATTAATTTCGAGAAATTATAATATACAAGTATATAACCTAAATTACTGTTTTAAAATACATTAATATTTCTATGGACAGTCAGAAAGAAAACAAATAGTTCATTATGGCACCACAGAACAGCAGTAAACTTTGAAATTAATGAAAATATGCTGATGCTGACTGAATACTATAAAATACAATTGATTTTCCTTCTCCATTAAAAAAACAAGAATTCTACATGGAGTATATTATGTGGGCAAACATGGAACTTCTGGTTTTGCAATCCTAGACTAAAGGTATGTCTGGCTTCTACAGAAAAACCATGCAAGTGTTTTCTGTTATTTGTGACCTTGGGTACATGTTACACAGTATGCAGGGTTGCAAAACCATTTTTTATATTTTCATAACAAATGTAGAAATTCTCCAAGGATCACTTGCTGTAAATTTTTATCATGCAGTCATAAGGAGCAAACATTTCATGTTGTACAAGTTAAAAGTAATCATACATGTAACATATGTAGCTGATTAATTTGTTGTATTTGTGTGCAGACAATGAAATTAATGGTAACCAGATCTAGATAATATTATTCAGATGACAAACCTCCTATATTAGGGTGGTAGAGTGTATACTGTAAAGATATGCACAAGAATGAGATGTAAAACTGACAATTTCCTTATCCAAATGGTTGTAATACCTGTATGTATGGATTGTTGAATGATAATAAATGATATGATAATTAGAGAAAGACTGAGTAGTTTATCAGGGATAAGAAACTAAAATATATAACTTGAGGCAGTATTATTTTCTCATTCTGCACTTGCATTAAATTCTGAACCATGATTTTTTTTTTTCTGTACATGCTTCCACAACATTACCACTTTGAGCTACTGATGTCAAACATTTTCAAGCCATTTCATGAACTTATTTTTCACTAGATTATTCTATTATGAACAACACTGTGATGCTATAATGGGTTTGCATTGTACTTTCAACTTTTCGGTCTTTACTGTTTATTCTTCATACCTTCACGACAGGGGAAGCTACTTCTCTAAGGAATGTTTACCTTAAATTTTTGTTGATGTTTTTACAATTTTTCCCAGCATTCAAATCCCAAAAACCTGGGACACATGAGTAAAGTGGTACTCACTATGACTCTCAAGTGGTCATGGAGGAGGACAAACATTCCATGCTGTTTATGTTGTAAATCTTGCAATGATGACCACTATGGGGATCAACATATGCATACACCATGACAATATTTTGCAATAAAAATTTTGTAAGCAGGCAGAACACAGAAAATTGTTTCCTTGTAACATTAAAATGATGGATTTCTTTGATACATCAACATAATTTTCGTAAAAACACAGATCTTATTTACATCACCCAGCAAAGGTCAAATTCTGGGACTTGAAGCATCACAAATGGGCAGATTAATCTGGATATTGCTTTATATGCTGACAAGTTACTCTTAAATCAGTTGAGGGCCACCACTTCCAGGTTAAATGTGAGAAGTTGAAAGAAACTGGCAATAAAGTTCCAACATTGAACAAGTTGCATATAAGTGAACAACAGCTATGGGGTTCTCCTTACCTGTGTCTCTGCCCACTGCTTCTGTGCAGTGTTTCTAGAATGATGAATCAGAATATTCCCTCCTGTGTCCACTTTTTCACTGCTTGCAGAATTTGAGAGACTTCGTACTTTATCCAACAGTGGAAACAGAACCTAAAATACATCAGAAAGAAAAATAAACCTGGAACCTAAGAAATGTTATTACGTATATCATACACTTAATAGCTTACCTATAAACTACACTGCCACTGTGACTTCTAAATCTAGTCATCCATATGTACCATGACAGATTGTAGTATTTGTGTGTACACACAATATGATCAAGTAGTTTCTGGACTGGCCTAAACATGACACTAATGTTGTCTGGAACTCTTTTGCTAGGCAGAGTTAGAGTACACTCTACCATTCACTAAAAAGCTGTAACTTGGGCCACTAGGAAATAACACCTTGTGAAATTTGTGTTTTATCAGTATATGCTAGATTTTGGAGAAAAGTTCTGTTTCAAACTAGGCAGAACTGTTATATACACCTACAAAATGTAAAAATTTCCTTTCAGAGTGGAAATAATAAACTGAATTGAAACATCTGATTTGTTTTCAAAGTTGCAAAATTCATGCCTCAACTGCTGACTGAAGAGGGAAAGTGAAACTGTGTCAGTCTATGCTCCCTGCTTGGCTCATGCTTTGACCCTGAAGATAGAGGAGACAGATTCCTCTGAAATGTTAGTTAACTTTCAACATACACATGGCAATATATCCCAAAATATCTTCCAAATATAGTATTTCTTTAATTTCTTGTCCAAAGTATGGGTGTGTAAGTTATGTGAGTAAACATGGTAATTCAACTAGAAGACAATAGGTGTTTTCTTGAAAATGTGTATGCTTCATGATAAACTTGATTACTTGCACTGTCATGTAACTTCTTCTAGATGCATGGACTCCCTGTATTTCTACATTTATCATGCAAGATGAAAATCTATAAATCATTGCTGGTACACGTGCCTGCCATAGAACTGCCTGCCAGGTTGGTTGGTGAAGCAATCCTCCATGCGCGGAGATGGTGGAGAACAAAGTCTGACCCGCAGACTTACGCACAGCTGGCCGTGAGTCCACACATAAATCACCTGAAACAGCCATCTTTCACTAATGAACAACAAGGGTAAAAACATGTCCAAAAAGTAATACACCAAACATACTTAAAAATGAAGGAACTTCCTGCTTTAAACTATAACATATGGGTCACTGCACTAAGATGAGTCTTTTCTACATTAACAAGTTATACTGAGATTATATTAGATACTGCTTACTGTCTGAGACATGCATTTTGGGCATCAACTCTGTCCTAACATTTGGGCGAATGGTTCTCATTTTACTGATCTTTCAAATACCACACAATTACATTTTGATTCCGACTACTGAAGCTAATATTGAGAATGTAACTTCTAGTTTTCTGCTTCTTACTACAGACCTAACAGAATGCCCAATGATACGAAATTTACTCCATACATTTGCTAATTTATATGGTAGCCAAGGCTGTTTAAGTGATGTGAAAGTATTATTGTAGAGTGTTTGGACGTGACCTGAATCCTTATTCTTACTACACTTTCTTAATTACATATGTGTAATTAATTTCTTAATCTGAATGCTACCAGTTCTTTAATGTTTTAGCTATTATAATTTAGGATATTGACAAGGAAAGCAACCATATGATTGTAACTTTTCAATTTCCAATTTCTTTGCACAGGTTTAATAGAGAACATTTAAAGATCTTACTCTGTACTTCTGTCAATATTTATTGATATGTATGGTGGCCATGGCTATTACATACAAATACTGCAGTACAGCTATTGGATGTCAATTGAATCCTTACTCCTAATATTTTTTGAGTGTTATGGCTTCCTTTTTCAGTTACTATTCATTGGGATATTGCTTAACAAAGTTATTGTATCTCAGGTGAAAAACATATAATTCTGTTTGTTATAAATAAAAAAAAATAATTATGCGAGTAAAATGACAACCACTGTACCTTAAGACTGTAGGGCCAAGCACTGAACGCTGTGCATATTAAATCGGATGTACCGTTAGGCTATTTGGGACGAACAGCCTTAAGGAGGGAGCAGTGTGACGTATTGTACTTTGGAGGACATCCCCTCCCCCGCCAGTGGTGATGTAACAACATCGGAAGCTGTCGCTACTACGGTAACAGGCCAGTCACCACTCAGCCCCCTTACCCCGCGGTTGCTATACAGCAGTAAACAACTCTCGACAGCGTTGCCTAGCAACACCTGTAAACATGGCGACTAGGCAACAAGGAAGCGAGGCATTTTCCCGTTGTCTGGCTGAGGGTTTATAAGAGAACCACACTGCCTAAGGGGGCTTGGACCCGAGAAACACTGCGCTGGCAAGGACCAGCAGCATATGCAAAAGACAGACCAGTCCTCTCGTCAGAGAGGGCGCCCCACAGAAACAAGACGGTAACAGTCGACGAGCAATAAATATCTGGTCATGAGCCCCAAGAGGGTGCTCGATACCAAGACTTACTGACTGACTGACGGTCAGCCGCAATGTGACTTGGACTTGGAAGGAGTCAGTTAAAATGTAGTAGCCGCCGAAGACAGTTGAAATATAGCAGCCGCCTAAGACAGCTGAATTGTAACTGTCGCCAAGTTCAATTGTAGTGAGCGAATCATGAATGTGAAGAATACTGACAGTGTGAGAAGTTATTGGGAGTTTGTAATACAGTGGCACTGGTATAGCTCCCGTGTTATAAATACGTGAAGACTACTGAAGACAGAATGAAATGATTAGTGTGTATGGTTTATAAATTGGGTAAACCCGTAACAGTGTTATAATTAATTGTAGTTATGATCTGTAGGTTGTTAAATAAACCAATTAACAATCTGAACGGCGTCTTCAGTAGCAAAACACGTTACAGTATATTACACGAAACCTGTCATAAAACCTACAGAGAACCTGTAGAGAAGTGTAACCATTCATGTTATGCAATTTGTTAAGTAGTGCAATGGTATGGGCAGTTATTATTTCATTTCCTGGCATGTTTGAAGGTTCAAATATTTGAACTCTAAACTATGAAAGACCTTTCAGACAGCATAAGATAAGAAATCTTTACACACATGGCTTCTACTGACATGACTTTAGTCAGACATAGCCACTTTTATTATTGCACAACAAAGTAGACTTCAAATTATATTGATGTTCATAATGACACCATTATTTTACATCTACACAAGTACCCACATTCTCTCTCTCTTCCTGTGTCACAGAAAATAATCAGAAAAGAGAGGTATTATGCAAATAATTACAGTTGATGCCCTCCACTTGTGGGAAAGTCAACAAGAAGGATAACATACTTCAAAGAACAAATATAAATAAAATATTTATTGCACACATACATGTTTGGTTGCTCCCAATTAATAAAAATGAATACTCACCTAACCTGGCATAAAGGCACATCCAAAGTTTATCAAATGGTGGCATATTTGGTGTTCCAGGAAAGTCAGGAAAGACTGTTGTATCCCCTGACAAAGACTGACAAAGCTTCTCTTGATTCTGATAGAAGTAATCTGATATGTTCCACTGAAAGAATATCAAATATTGTATACCATAATATGTGTATGTATGCCAGAAGCTAGAACTCTTCATGAACAAGATATTAAAAACTGCAACATGAATTGAAGGTTTATTTTTAAGACAATGATGGCTCATCTATACACAAAGCTATAATCTTTCAACCATGCATTAAACTCAAAGAAGTATCACAGCAGTGATGAAGCTGGCAACACATCTACTGAAAATTAATTTTTCTCAGAGAATTTAGCTTCCAGTTTTAAAATTTCTTATTATTCTTATATAACTTTACTTACACCTGATCAGCTGGGAAAGCAGTCAATATAGTGACTAGATATGGGCTGGATGGGCGAGAGGCTGGAGTTTTGAGTTCTGGTAGGTACAAGATTCTTCTCCTCTCCACAACATCCAGACCAGACCTGGGCCCACCCAGCCTCCTGTTCAATGGTTACCAAGGGTTCTTTTCCCAGGGGTAAAACAGTCAAGGTGTGAAACCGACCACTCACATCCAACTAGTGACGAGGTCAAGAATACATGGATCTATACATTCAATCCCTCATATGCTTTCATGCTGTAGTTAGAGTGACCAATTTTCAGCCATGAATTTAAGGGAAATTTAGTCACAACAAATTTGGCGTGTTTTCAGCGGTGCAGCATCACTCCAACAAATGTTCAAGGAATGATAATATTAAACAAAACAATTAACTGACACTGTATATAATATACAGGTCACAATGTAGAATAAAAATTTACAAATTTGCATGTTTCTTAGTCCTAATCTATATGTATTCATCCACTGATGCTGCAGAACTAAGCATTTTTTTATCTTCTTGTGCAGATTTCAGAAACTCATTACAACTATAGTCATAATTAATTGTCACCATTAGCTCTGACTTAACCCTTTCCGGTCGTCACATTTAGAAAAATTTCTGCAGCCAGGCTGTCAGGGGTTTTTAAATGCCTGCCAAGCCACTATGTGAACTGTTTTGCCTGAAAAGTTCTCCTCTGTATGTTTTATCACACCATGTACTGCCTTGCCTTTTTGATGGCCCAATTGCTTTATTTGGTGGCATCATTTCCCCACATGCATCATCGGCCATTGTTACGTCTTCCCAAACACCAACACGCAACACCACTCGTTTCACTCTCTCTCTCATTTTCTGACATTTTGTTGCTCGATTCTTCACTTGCAGCTTCTCCTTCAACTTACAAATCATCACAGTCAATATCAAGTTCTTCATTTAACTTATCACTACTAGATTCTTCATCTGCATCACACACGAGATTATATCTAGTTTCTTCAATCCAGATGGCCATGATTCAGCTGAATGTAAAAGCATGCTACTAACATGTTGCTGGCTTCCCACTGCGGCAGCCCAGGTTCGATCTCAGGTCTAGTCAAGTGGGATTTGTGGTGGACAAAGTGGCGCTGTGGCGGGTTTTCTCCGAGTACTTAGGTTTTCCCTGCCAATCTTCATTCCACCAAATTCTCCATCATCATCATAATCATCCAAGGCAGGTACAATAGGAAAATCAGTGGTTGCCGTGCCGAGTGGACCCAGCTGGACTCCACCCCCAACTAGCAAATTAATTAAAGCTACTAACATGTGAGATGCCATAATATATAAATGGCATTCATTCCTTAAGAAGTTCAAATTATGAATTCCAGATGACAGGAGGAGGCAGACAAAACATTCATGCATGCACTGGTATAGTCTAGAGCAGAGGTCTCCAAACTTTTCAAACCGCGGGCCACATTAGGTAATTCAGCACTTTCAACGGGCCAGATAAAATGAGAAATTAATAACTCTAGGTATATGAGTTTTATTGAAAGCACAGAATTTCATAAACTAAATACAAAGTACATGAGAATAAATTATCGTATATTAATGACAACAGACAGTAGCAGGAAATGCTCATATTTTCATCACAAATATAATAAAACAGTTAATGTGAATGATGGAACTCTTTTTGCATTCTTAAAGTCTGACTAAATTGAGGTTCAAATTTTGAAATGCTAATCACTAGTAGCAACTTTAAATGTTCATCGGATAAATTTGCCCTGTATTTCGACTTGATGTTCATCTGAGAAAAATTTTGTTCACACAGATATGTCGTCCCAAAAATGGAGATAAATTTACGAGCAAATTTCTTTAAATTTTGAAACTGCTCAGAGTTCAGAAATTTATAAAATTCGATCAAATTTCTTTCCCTGTATGTCTTTAATATATGATAATATTCCTGAAATTCAATAATTTCCATTTGAATTTGACTTGGGACTAGTGATGTATGACCGAAATATGACTGCAGAAAAACGAAACAAACTTTGTCAATAGTATATCAACATTTGTCCATGGAAGCAGAGTCACCTTGTTGATTATATATCGACGTTTGACCAGTGAGGGTTAATTAGTTCTAGGCTGCTTTGATTTCTCTGTTCAGTCCATTTAATCTTCATCAGTGAAAAAACTCTTTCAGTATGGGCATTTCAGCCTGGGATGTTTAAAACAAAGCCTAACATCTTACTAAGGTTTGGCACATCAATTTATGTGTTCCTTAAATGACTGAAAATAATGGCCCAACTTTATTCCATACTTCCCACTTTTACCACACTCACAACACTTTTTGTACTAGGAAACTCTTCATACATGCTGTTCTCATTTACAAAATCAAGATTAAATTTTTTACAATGGTTTGCAAATGTCTGAAAGAAAGTTTAGTGTTTAAATTTAGTGGCAAAAGACAATGGACAGGATTTGCATTTGGAAATTCAAAATTCTTAGAAATGTACTTGTGCAAGCAACAGTAGAAATTAACAAAATCATCTATAGCACATTTCTGCAGGGATGGATTCAAAGAGTTTAAAATTTTTTTCAGTGGCAGTACCAAAAAAAACTGTCCACTACCTTCTGCTGAATTTTATTATCTATAAACATTTCATTACACTGTAGCATTCCATGATGACTGGCAGTTTCAAGAGTTCTGGCAGACTGAACACGTATGGCATCAATGTTGGGGAAAAAATTAAGATCTGCATCAATAACACATTACTTTTCTGGATCTTCATCACTGAAAGATTCTTTTTAATATTTTTGGACAGTCATTCACACTTTTGAAATAACTCTTAATAGGTAACCAGTTTTGTATCAATCTGTTCACAGCTGTTGTTAGGGAAAGCCAATGAGTGGGCACTTGACAAATGTAACCATTCGGCATCAACAAAATCAAAGAATGACTTCAACTCTTCCCTTCTTTTTGCTGATATCGAAAAGTGTCCATATATTTCTAAGATGATCATTTCAATATCCAGATCTAATCCATCATATACGTGTTTTGTGGCATTACGCAATATATGATTTGAGAAATTTGTCTTAAGCACATTTTTGTTATCTTCATGAAGCAGTTTGAATACATAACTATGCTTCCCATAATTCACATTTGCATTATCTGCACAATATGAAGTCAGATTTTTTTTATATCTAACTTGTGTGTATCTATGCCAGCGGTACTTCAACTACCCATGCAGGAAAGGTCAAAGGGTAGACTCCAGACCCTGGTCCTCCACGTTGGGGGCTGGGAATGAGGCTAACACCCTCATCCTGTGAAACGAATTTTGTTCAGAAACCTAAAAACCAGCCATGGATAGAGAAGATGAGGAACAGAGATTAATAGAGACTGGTTGTAGAGGAGGCCAAGGCTCACCCAGGGCTGTAGTGTCAAGTGGTGGGTAGGTTGTGTGTATCAGGTGAAAACTGGATCAAATTATGGATAGCATTAGCTTTGTCAAGTGCCCACTCATTGGCTTTCCCTAACAACAGCTGTGAACAGATTGATACAAAACTGGTTACCTATTAAGAGTTATTTCAAAAGTGTGAATGACTGTCCAAAAATATTAAAAAGAATCTTTCAGTGATGAAGATCCAGAAAAGTAATGTGTTATTGATGCAGATCTTAATTTTTTCCCCAACATTGATGCCATACGTGTTCAGTCTGCCAGAACTCTTGAAACTGCCAGTCATCATGGAATGCTACAGTGTAATGAAATGTTTATAGATAATAAAATTCAGCAGAAGGTAGTGGACAGTTTTTTTTGGTACTGCCACTGAAAAAAATTTTAAACTCTTTGAATCCATCCCTGCAGAAATGTGCTATAGATATTTTTAACACCACTAAGAGGGTCAAAAGCCAGTCACGGTAGCTGAGCAGTCTAAGGCATGCACTGTCTTCATGCGCTCTGAAGCCAAGATCGTGGGTTCGAATCCCACTCAGGGCATGGATGTTTGTGGGCGTTTTTCTGTGTTTGTCTACATGTAGAGGCCTTGCAATGAGCTGATCACTCGCCCAAGGAGTCCTACCATATGTGTAAGATCTATAAAAACCGAAGTGAACAGAGTTCATGTAGGTAGGCCTAGGCCCCACTGGGGCTGTAGTGCCAAGGGAAGGGGGGAGGAAAAAAGAAAGAAAAAGAAAAGAGGGTCAAAATACCTCACAACTAGCGGGAATATCTTTCTGTTCTTGTGGTTGAAGGCATCAGTTACAACAGAGAAAAGACTGTTTGACTTTGGTGGATCTTTCATCACATCGATGAAGCTCTGTGCACTCCTTGGCACTGCAACATTTTTCACAATAGCCTCTGCTTTGTTCAGCCACAAGGCATCTTCTTAGTCAAGTCAGAGTCATGGCAAATACGCTTCAAGAACTTATTTGCGTAATCCATACTTCTGTAGCTGATGTTGTCCTTTACAGTATGGAAAACCAATGCTAGCTCACCTGCAACGTTTTTAAAGTCTTTGCTGCTGTTCCTGAAAAAGAGGTGTAAATTTGAGATGTCCTTGCTTTCCTTTCATTTATGCTCTTCTGTGCAAATATGTTGTCTACAGTCAGTATTGCCCCTTTGAGCGATGCTGAACTCATGTTTACAAAGTATACATAAAGCTCTGTAAACGTTGGAGGGCAAGAACTTTACCCATTAATATTGTTCTTCTCATTTTCTCAAGTAAACACACAAGTATTTAGTTTTCTTCCTAGGTGGGATTTTTTCACTGTTGCGTTCACTTTCGCTGTCACTATCCATTATGAAAATGGATTCAATTTTGTAAACATTTCAAAGTATGAGGATGAACATGGCAAGAAACAAGAACAGAAAATAATACAATCCAGAAACGGATACTGTGCTATCAATTAGTATATGCTAAACTTTCTATCGATTATTATAGGTATTTTTTTTATATTTAGCACTGAATACCTCTAAGTCTAAACCACAGATAATAATGGCAGTTTATATCAGAATGTATTTGGTGGGAATAGTATATAATTTACATTTTGTGATCTTGATTGTTAATGAAATATATGGCAGAAACAGAAGGTCAACATGGGAGCCAGGAGGATCCAAAAAAATTAGCACTAATATGGGAGTGCCCAGGAAATATGGGAGAGTTGGCCATGCCAGGTGTAGTGCTCAATTAGCAAAGCACAGGGACATCTTTACCTTACACCTGATCACTGTCCATGAAAGGCTAATTACAAATTCAGTCTTCTTTGTGAATTTAGCACCAAATTATGTTATTTTTGCAAAGCTTTATTCTTTACAGTGGATTTTTGATTACAGCTGCCATGCAATCTACGATAAATATGACCTTAACTGTATGAAATAGGATCATGAGTCTGAATAGTGATCAGTGCATGAATGTATGTCAATATTTATTTGTTGTGTGCCATCCTGTGTAAGTGAAGGATTTTTCCATTTTAAGAAATCTAACAAATATGTGAAAGGATTAACTGTTTCAGAATTAATTTTGCATTTTAAGAGGTCAGAGGGCTTAATTGATGAAGAAGTAGGAAACAGATTTTCTCTGTGCTTTCAAATCATGAATGCTTATCACCACTTACCATTAACCCCACAGCTGTGAGAGAAATGTTCAGTTCCTGAGTCTGGGACCCAAACTTGGCTGCTGTATCAACACATAGTGGAAGACATCGCCACGGCATCACGGGCAGAAAGTCTGTTACCACCAGCTGTAGGCACTGGAACGCTACACGGATTAGATTCTCCCTACAAACAACCAACAAATTAAAAAACTCTCTGTATCTGTGATGAAATATTGTGTAGCACATGTAAGTTTCAGAGGTCTCTTAAATTCACATATGATTAGGAAAATGACAATAAAAGTGAATAAACACTAATGCTGATGTGCTTAGTATAATCTATATCACTAGGTTAGCTCATCTCTTTCAAAATTCGTGATTAAATAAGGTTTTCTTAGTTCTTTTTGTCATTTATTTTATTTTAGTTTTGTGAACGAGTAGAGTGTGCTTCCACATTATGTGAATTTGAAGTAGCATAACATAAAAAAAATTAATAAAGTCTCACCTTGTGTGCAAAGTTTGAAATAATGTGATGATTATGATGATATACACATAATAATGTAATAAATGTAATCATTTTATAAAAGTGATCATATTAATTAATAAAATGTCATGTCACACTACAATGGTTGTAAATTTATATGCTCCAAGAATGCACGCCCCCCCCTATATTACCTTCATTTCTATGAGAAAACAAGTCTTGAATTATATGAGATCTTCAGGACAGCATCCTTGCATAAAATGCAATTTCACTCTGCTCTACATCATTTGGTAACTTTTAATAACTAATTCTTAGCTGTACTTAGAAAGATATTTCACAAGAGCAGTGAATAGTAGAGTAATTTACTGAGGCAATATTATGTAGCCAGTAATACTACTGGCCACGCATGGTAAAGTTGTGCCTGTGCTTAACTAATTAAGCACTACACCATGAAGACATGTGGGAGAGTGGATGTATATATCCAAGTTTTCTTGACTTCAGCACTGACTGGAGGGGAGTGGTCAGCTTCTTACCCCTGGCGTAAGAGCCCCCAGTATCACTGGATAGGAGGGTGGGTGGGCTCCAGAACCTGTTTGGAAGGCATGGAGAAGAGGAAATTCTTGCACCTAACAGGACTCAAACTAGAGCCCCTCAATCGTCCGGCCCATAGCCAGTCACTATACCAAACAGAGCTATCTTGGCTCAGTGTTACTGGTAACTACACCAAAATGAATAAGTAATACAATGACGCAATGTCATCCATGAGCAGAGACTTAGTCTGCTCATTAACAATCTCCCTACCAATACAAAACACAGTGGCTGTCTAACACAATAACATTTAACCACTGCAATCTATCTAATCCAGTTCAGTCCAGTATACATTCAATATTTTCAATATTCATGATTGAAGAGCAAGCCAAGCAACCAACCAGATGTTGGTATGTTGCTTGGCTTGCTCTTCAATCCTGAAGATGGAGGAAATAAGTTCCTCCAAAACATAAATCTCTCTCCGAATTATATGGTGTTACAACCCAGAAGACTGTACTCTTCATAATTATCAATGAGAGAATCTCAAATATCCATAAATGAACAAGAAGTGTACATGGAAAAAGTAAATAACCATAGAGAATATATATGTGTACAACTCAGCAGCTGCATTCCCCGTTTATGGGTGACGCGATTACACTGTCACATGGAAATGACCCATAATATTGCTGGATACACGGTAAGATTTACCATTTTTTTAATGCTAGTGGGGTGGAACTAAGACCCTTGTACTGCGGCCACTTCTGGCCTAGTGTATCAGCCCCAGATGACAGGTGAGGGTGATTGTGGAGCAATTGGTGGAATGAAGATAGGCAGGGGAAACCAAAGTACTTGGAGAAAACCTGCCCCAGCGCCACTTTGTCCACCACAAATCCCACTTTACCAGACCCGGGATCGAACCCAGGCCATCGTGGTGGGAAGCCAGCAACTAACTGCTTGAGCTATGGTGTCGCCAAAGATTTACCACTTGGTCTCGGTGCTATATCAAAATGAGGCAGATAAGCCAGGTTATGAATAACTTTATACGTATCAGTGATTCTGCTGAGGCAACAACAAACCACACTGAAAACCAGTCACACCAAGGGTGTACACCCAGAGCAATGCAAGGAATGGACAAGATGTTGTGAAAAGTCAACCAATTTGCTGTATCATATAAATGAATGCATCGAAAGAAATAAAATATCTGAATAAATAAATACAATGTGTCAAAATTTAAGTAATAACCTTTCATATCTATTAGAATGACATATGTTACACCAGGTACAGGTAGTTGTCTTGAAAATCAAAGGTATACTGTAACTTGGTTTCACTTCATATTCCTGAAATGTTTTTTAGACCTTAAATGAACATTAAACATATTTCTAAGAGGAAAATTTTGTATTACATGAAGATCTGGTAAGCAGACTTACCCATGATGATCTGATACTGCACCAATGATACCCAGCACCAATGGCCAGCCATGGGACAAGGTCTCTCCTGCACCATGTAATACCTGAAGAACACACTCTAACTGCCGCTGTCGAACATCACCATGTGGCACCGATGATAATTCTGAGAGGGGACCCAAGAGTAGTGTCTGAAGTTTCTGAGAAAACAAAAGTGTCTACTGCTGACATAGAAATGCACAAGGGTAAAAATTTCTATTTCAGTCTACTGACTTGTTCTGTGCCAAATCAAACAATGTCCTCAACCATGTCACCATCAGTTTCTATGGTTTTTATTTTATAAGTAGATATCCGAGAAAAAGACAGGTTTTCAAACTGTATTACCTTCTGGGATATAATGCCATGTAGCCCTTAGAAAGTAATCCTATGTTTCAGAGAAACACATCGCCTCCATCTCTGGGATCAAATAAACTGAGCAAGATACCAGCATGAGCAGGTGGCAAGTAGAATAATCAACTAGCCAGAAATTTAAGATTTTGTAGGAAGCAGGAGGGAAATGGAAGAGTGGACCTCAGTTCCCATTGGCTCACCAGTGGCACAGAATGAAACTGCTGGGCTCTCACACAACCACCAAGTGAATCAATTGGAGACAAAAGCAGGAGTTCAGGATGGCTCTGAAAAGCTTCAACCTGATGTCTGGCTTCCTTCTCCTATTTCTTCTCCATCATCCCCACCAAATGCCTATGACTCACTCAACATATCTCCCTTACATGTTGGTTCCTTACCCAGCACACATCATTACACTTTTTTCCTGCCACTTTTTCTTAGACCAGTAAATACACCCCTTTTTTACAGCCATCCTGAACACCTGTTCTTATCTCCTACCGGTTCACTCAGTGGGAGTGTGAGAGCCAAGTGGTTTCATTCTGTCTCACAGGCAAGCCAGTGGGAACTGAGGTCCACTCTTCCACTTCCCTCCTGCTTTCTATAAAACTCGAAATTTCCAGCTAGCTGGTTTCTGTGTTTGCCACCTGCTTTCACGCTGGTATCTGGCTTGGTTTCTTCGACCATGGAGATGGCGGTGATATATGTTTCTCCGAAAAGTTTGTTGACTTTCAATGGACTACAGGGTGTTATAACACAGAAGATGGTACTCTTCATAACCACTGCTGTGAGAACCTCAAATCCTACACAGGTTTTCCAAAGTTACAATTTTTTATCATTATCAACTTCCTGAATATCATTTAATAAAATTAGGTACTTTTTGGCATCCTGTAGTCTTCTCTTTCACAAATATGTAAACATCTCCATCATTTAGGAAGTCAGAAAGATAAAGTTTAGTGTTTCTCACATTAAGAGAACATTTAACATCAGGCCAGAAAGAAAAAGAGGAACCACAAGACCTCAACTGAGATGTGGAATAATGTGTACCAGGATACTAGACTTCTAGGAGAAAGGAACTGCATTTTCCAAAAGGCACCTACATAACAAAAGTAAAAGAAAGAACACTGCTGGTATGGCTGTCTTTTCTAGTGACTCAGTTTCGTGTTCTTACTGGTGCGTTATACTTGACAGTGAAACCAGATGTTTTTGCACGTACTGATGCTGCCAATATTCCAAAAGAAGGATGAACACGATACTGATCCCTAATTTAAAATTTTAGTTTCTTAGCAATGCAGCAAAAGATTGCCTTAACCCCTTTCCCCCCAGACAATACAATTAAACATTTGTTTATGCTAGTCAAAAGTCACAGCTTTCTACCAAATTGTACATTTCTGACATTTTAAATAACGGAGATGTTTATATTTGTGAAAAAAAATGGCCTACTTCATGCTAAAAACTGCCAAACTTGACTAAGGGGTTTAGCAACAGTAAAAGATGGAAACTTTTAGAAAACTGTTACTTTATGGATATCTAATGCTAAAATGAAAATCAAGAAAACCTATGATGGTGTAGCTGAAACACAATTAAATTTTCTTCAATTTGGTAGGGAATATCCCTAATGGTGACATACGAATATAAAGTGTACCAAATGCCAAAAACTGCATGAAACTGTCAACTTCATTTTAAAATTACTGCCAGTTCTATAGGATCAAGCACTTCCAAAACACACTGTAATTTACTATACACTGAATCATACTTACTATAAACTGACATCAACAAACCTGGTTATCTCTAAGTGGAGGCTGGTATTTGTGCTGCAAGGCAGCCTTCACAAGGTATGTGACAGCCTCTACACCCCACTCTCGCATCCGTATGTGTGGATGCTGACATACTTCAAGCAGGTGATTAGTAAGAGGTCTCCACAGCACCTCCACACGAGGCAAATTCACCAACCCAGTCTCAAGAAGTTTAGCCACTGCAAACAGTGACGGCTCCTGAAATATTCACACCAATGTCATATTCAATCTTAAACTGAAATAAAAATCATCCTTGTACAAAGCCAATTCTCAAAGATAAAACTAACAGCTAATTAAACAGAAACTACATAAAGCAAAAATACAAGTTCTACCAACAGTTAAAGATAAAACAAGATCTACATCTGTAAAACGGGAAGTCGTAAAAGTTAAATTAAATGATGACAGCTATATGAACTTCTAGCAACAACCTACTGTTCACGTATCACTAAACATTTTTTTTATTCAATGTGTATTATTAAATTTAGAGTATGTCACATAACACAGATGATTTCTTATTAAAAACTATTCTTGTAACTGTGTACCTTCACTGCCTGTACATTATATATACCAATTGTTGTGGCCCAAAGGCCGACTCCCGGTAATATGTTAACATAGTATTAACATTTTTGTATTTTTGGGAAAATATTTGTTAGGATAGAGTTAGTTTTGGGAAATATTTGTAAGAGGTACAAAAGCGGATGTACGAAAGGTTAACAACTTAAAGGAATTTCTGCGTATGGATTTAGATGGACATTGGCTTGCCACGAATGGGGAATGCCCAGTCAGCAGAATAACGTTGAATGTATATCGAACTGCTAACTACAGAATTTACACTTGTGTGATGGGGGGACGTTTGCAGGTAAAAGTGTCAGCCAAACGGTTTAGCAGTAGAAGGGGGTGTGTCCCCTTAGGATCCCAGTCAACGAGATCACCCACCTTGGGATAAGACGTCATTGGAGGCGGACTTACACCCTCCGGGAAAATAATGAGTAAGCATACATAGGGGTATATAACCCAGAGACCAAATTAGGAAGGGAATTATTCTAACAGTAATTTTGGCCAT